TATATAGAATTTCAATAAATTTATAAAACATATGGCCTATAGAAATTCTTTTGAATTTCTATAGAATGTCTATTAATTTCTATAGAAATTGCAACAAACCTTTTTTTCCTATAGAAAAAAAGTAGAAAAAAAGGTAGAAAAAAAAAGTTAAAAAAAAAGTAGAAAAAAAAATTCTATAGAAATTTCTATAGAAACTAACAAGGATTTTATAGAAATTCTATAGAATTTCTTAAGGCCATATATTTCAAAAGTTTATAGAAATTCTATAAAACTTTTTTTCCTGGGATCTTTTTTAAAAAGCGTCCCACGTTATACTTATCAAAGTCTCTCTTCATTCTTTTTTAAAGAATGAAGAGAGACTTTGATAAGTATAACGTGAAACTTATAAAGGACAATATTATACCTTTCTGTTTTGGGTTTCATACACAGTTCTTCTAAAACTGTTTTGGAAGAACTGCGTATTGAGTATTAATTGAAAGCACTTGTAAATAAGAGTTTTTAAATCACACATACTAAGTGTGATTTTAAATCACACATACTGAGTGTGATTTTAAATCACACATAGTAAGTGTGATTTAAAAACATTTTTCTTTTAAATCTGATAAAAGTATTTTTTTTTTCTGTTATTTTATTTTCATCATTAAATTTATTGTCAGCACATATTTCTCATTTTTTCAAGTCAAATCTGCATGCAGGTTTGATTACTGCTGCAGCAGTAGTGACATTGCAGCATAAATATAAATAAAGCCATTCCTTCTGCAAAGCTAACCAAGAACAGATCATTGAGGCAAGAAGAGAAATCGTATGCAAACTGTAATCAAAGGCATATTTTTTTTATCAGCCCAAACGCATTTTGCAACAAGCTTTGTTACTAAAGAAAAAGCCGGATTTGTACCTAAAGCAACTACAGCACTTTATTAACTATTAATGTGTTCCATCCAACCAAGTTGCATTGTAGCAATCATTACTAACTAACTACTTGTTAGTTAGTTAGCGCTATGAAATAATCATAGCGAAGAAAACCGTTTGATTTAACATTTGAATGTCCTGAGAATGTAAATGGTCAAAAAATATACCTGACGGATAGGGACAATCCATAAAGGACGTTACCATTTTTTAGCCAATTTTTGACCCCTCCCCCTCCCTTTGTCACCGGTTGTATTTTTTCCCTATACCCTCTAGAAAAAAACGTCATAAAATCTTGACCCCCCTCCCTATTTTTAACTCCAAAAAATTTATTTCATCTTGCAATGATGTTTGAATCTGCTGCTACACCTTTGAAAAATAAAATTAAAAATTTTCTCATACATTATCTTCTCAAAAACACATGTTTACGTAGCTTTCCATGTTAATTAAATTAAAACAAAAAATCTATAAAGTGACGTCCTTATCTGACAACCTCCCCAACTCCCCTAGTCCTTTTTTGTCTTTTTTAACTCGACCCCTCCCCTCTTCCTAATTGTATGACGTCCTTTATGGATGGCCCCATTGTACAGATAAACTAATTGTGTTATTCATGGAGATTGTTGGTAGTTCAATTTTACGCGGAGCAATCGGTTTATAAAAAGCTATTATGTTAGAATTTATATTTATATTTATTTACGTAAGTCTCTTTTTTGACTAATTCAATGTGATCTATAATTATAATTTTAATGCATTATCTTTTTAATTCTGACTTTTAATGTTTACTTATAAATAATTCAATTTAAATAGAAATAGTTTACGCAACTATGTTGAGAAGCAAACTACTTATTTTTTTGAAAATTATGCGGTTTGCAATAAGATAATATTAAATTTTTAAAAAAAGTGAAATTTTTACTTAATGCTTTTCTTTCTTTTTTTTTTAAATATTTGGTTGGTAATTTTTAATTTTTAATTTTAAATATTTGGTTGGTAATTTTGCAGCCGTGGCGCAGTGGTAGCACACTTGCCTCCGAAACGTAAGATCTGTGGTTCAAACCCCACCTCTGGGCAAGTTTTGCGACATCGGTTGGGAAAGAGGCGTGAACTTCCTATTAAATGCTCTTCCGCGGTGCTCTGTGATAAGACCGTAAGGACTTCTTGGGGCACCTAAAATCAACATAAAAAAAAAAAAAAAAAAAAAAAAATTTTTTATCGGTATTCGTAAACTATACCCGCTATACAAAGTTACGCTGGTTTGTAATACCCGCTTAAAAAGCGTTAATTAATCGAATTACTGTCGTCTTAAGAATATATATAAGCAGTTTTTTATTTACATAATCATGTATACTTATGAAGTTTAGTGTTTAAGTGTGCCTTAAACTGAATGTCTTCGAAAGATTTAATCCTCCACATTTTTGTGTTTTTTAATTCTTGTCGATTATTTAAATGCAAAACAATTTTTTTATTTTATTCATTGAAAATTTTATTCGTTAGAAAAATTTCTAGTTTTATTCATATGATGTACACAATTCGTAAATTTAACTTAACATATTTCAGTTTAATATCATAAATTGTAATATGACAATATATAAATTTTGTATCTGAAAAAAAATCTCAAGTATCCCGTTGCCAGAAACATTTAAAAAATGAAATATATTTAATATGTAACCTCATGGGAAAGCACATTATATTTCAATTAACTTTTTATTTTTTTAGCAGACAACTTTTGTACCATTTTATCAATGTATCACTGTTTCCGTTGACTTTTAAAGTAAAAGTTTCACGTTAAGTAACCTTATGTAACATATTAAAAGAACTTTTATATGTTTTACATAATTTTAAACTTAAATAAATAAATAAATTTACATATCTATATACATCTATATGTATATATACATATATATATATATATATATATATATATATATATATATATATATATATATATATATATATATATATATATATATATATATATATATATACACATATCTATATACATCTATATGTATATGTATATGTATATATATATATATATATATATATATATATATATATATATATATATATATATATATATATATATATATATATATATATATATATGTATATATATATATATATATATATACACACACATATATACATGTATATATTTATATGTATAAACGTCCTTTCTTTTATATTAAAAAAATTGTAAAAAATGTTTTCTTTAATAGGTTTTTTCAATTCCAACTATATCTGATCTCTATAATAATCGCTCGGGTTTCATCTGGCTTCTCCCTACTCAAACATTCACTATCTTTTGTTCCTAGTAGGTGTGCTCTATCTCAAACCCTTCTAAGAATAGAATGATTGGAGGATAGCATTAGAGTGCAACGAGGTTTAAGTTTTTATAGAGATTGGTGGCACTAACTCTATTATTAGGAAGTTTCTTTATTCAAACCTTCTCTACCGATGTTAAACGTCCTCTGCGTCATCTAACTAGATTTAAAGGTATTAATTAAATTGGGATATATAAGGGAATGTCGCAGTAGAGCATACACACATTGAATTACTAAAAAAGGTTAGGCGCGTTGAGTATACTTACATTGAAAGCAGGGGCGTCCCGAAGGAGGGGAGTATCAAGGTGTCCACACCCCGCCCTCCCAAAGCTGTCATCTAAGAATTCTAGTTGGCACATTGAGCAAGTTTTGAACAATAGTTTGCAAATTGTAAATATTGAGGATTTTTTTTTTTTGTATTTCTAGTTGGCAAAAAAATACATACCTTACCCGCCTTCTCCCCCCCCCCCTCCTTGCCATGAAAGACTTCTTTGGGTCGACAGAGGTTTTAATTCTGGCAAATAGCCTTGCAACTGAAAGAACATTTTTCGTATTTTTGGACCTAAAGGACAGCGTCGGAACAGGAGTTTGCCCTAAAGTAAAAATAAATTAATTATTACGAAAAAAAAAGTAATTAAATGTCGGCAACTAATTTTAAATTATTTGGCGGCATTTATAGGATTAATTTCTAACAGATTCGACCTTGTGTCATTCGATGTTATCTTAATATTTATGTATCTATTATATATAGATCTATAATTTATAAAAGAAATTAAATTAGATGTAATTAGTTTTGTTAAGGGTAAAAACGAGTACTTTGTCTATATTGCCAATAAAGACGAAGTACTCGTTTTTACCCTCGTTTTTCTCTCAATATTGAGAGATTAAGAGTAAAGTATTAAAATTGAAACAACTTTATTATCTAGAATAGTTTCTCGTTTCAGATTTCAATGAATAGTTTATCTTTTTGTTAATATCTTTATCCAATATAGTATATAATTATATATAATATACTTTGTCTTATATTTTGAAATTTTGTGCATAATATATTAGATGTATGTTACTATTACTAATAGTAACATACATCTAATATTACTAATATAACTAATAGTATTAGTAATAACAATTAAAAATAGTAATGATGATAATAGTTCAATAATAGTACATAAAATAATTAATAATTTCAATATTATTATTATTGCTATTATTACTATTATTGCTATTATTGTTATTATTATTGTTGTTATTATTTATATTTTTGTTGTTGTTATTAGTTAAATTTGTTTTTATTAAATAATAATAAATGTAGACTTTTAAAAGAATATAATTTGTTTATACTGAAATAATTTTTTTATTCTCTTAACTTTCAGTTTTTTTCATCCTATATTTGATTATGGGAAAGAGATTTAAAAAATATGTTTTAATGTATGCTTTAATTTAAAAACAGATTAAATTTAATTAATCAGCTTATTTATTTAATAGTAATCTTTTTAAGATAATGTTTTATTCTTATACTGTTTGATATTTAGTTATCTAAAAAATCTTTTTACAGTTATGTGTTTTAAATTAATGCTTATATATAGTTTCATTATGTATTATATATATATATATATATATATATATATATATATATATATATATATATATATATATATATATATATATATATATATATATATATATATATATATATAACATATACACACACGCACACTATAATTCTATAGTTGTATAATTTATGTTTCCGTTATTAATTAAATAATCTAAAAATGAAGGCCAAAGTTTAATGGTTTTTATGGTAAAGTTTAGTATCATTAATGCTTATATATAGTTTCATTATGTATTATATATATATATATATATATATATATATATATATATATATATATATATATATATATATATATATTTATATATATATATATATATATATATATATACATACATATATATGTATATATTTATATATATATATATATATATATATATATATATATATATATATATATATATATATATATATATTAATATATATATATGTATATATATAATGATATTTTTAAAACCTCTTGTTTTTAAAAATAACCATTAAATTTTAAATTTTTTTTATCACTTTAGACTACACTAAAATAAAAGTTATTAATTTTAGTGTAGTCAATTTTTGAACATTACTTTAAAAAATTACTATGCAGTTATCTTTTTTAAAGGTATAAACTTGAAGTTTTGTATTACTCTCTTCTGTAAGTCTGCATGTAGTTATCTGTTTATCAGAGGTAATTTATTTTTTTAGCATATAATAATTTATAAATGTCATTAAAAAAAGAAATATGCTTACATACTTAAATCATTATTTTATAGGGAACATGAATCTAGTTTCTTCAATATTTTTTTCTTGGTTTGCGATAGTTTTTTGTATAAGTGGTTTGTTTATAAACTTTTTGCAACTACTGGTTTTGCCATTATATTGGATAAAGAAAAGTTGGTACCACAATATTATACCAGCGTTGTCATATGGGATATTTAGTCGTTAGTTAATTTTAGTATATTTGTTTATTATTAGTTTCACTTTCCAGTTTTTTAATTTATAAATATCAATTGTACTGTTTATATAAATAAATTTAGGTAAGTGTTATGTGTAATATATTCAAAGATATAAATAATAATTGCAATAAACCAAAAAATACAATGATTATTAAAAAAGTGTTGATTCATCTGGATCCACCTTTGTTTTTGATAGCTGCTTTATTCATAATTCCATCTCTTTTATGGATATTATTAACTACATTGCTATCAAAACAGCCCTTATAATATTGCAGAACTAACAATATGTTTAACCAAAGGTACCAAGCATTTGTTGGATGTTCTTTTTCTCCTGAGCTGCAAATGAATACTTCTTGTTTAGATCTAAAAACTTCAAATTTACTACATAGTGCAAGCCTTGTTAAGAAGCGTTAGGCCATTCAAATTTTAGGTATGAAATGGCAATTTCATCTATGCTTTAAGCCATTTATGTTATGCCAAAACATTTTTTCAATTAGATTATTTAAAAAGTCTTTAAGCAAATATTTTGTTAAAGCCAAAATAATAATACAAAAAAATTGTAGAAAGTTTTTTTAATTATTAAGAAATTCTCCATTTTACAATAGCTTCCTTATTTAAAAAAATAATAAAAACTAAATTGAGAGAAAGCAAACATAACATGTTTTATAATGAATGTTTTAAGAAATATATAAATAATAGTAATAAATTGTAAGAGTTTTTTTTAAAAGAGTTTTTTTTTTTCAAGCAACATTTTTATTTTTATATATTTGTTTATAACAATATTGTTTAGTTTCAAGATATTTCATAAATGATTTATAAAGATAACAATTTTTAATGATTTTTAACAGGGTTTCAAATTGAATTTAATTACAATACAATACTTTAAAACATATCACTGATATAATTTAAATTTTAACTATATAAATATGTACATTGAGTAAATTACACTTATTTGCATTATAATTTTATGTTACGCAACAAAATCTTATGACCAGGCCTAGATTTACCCCATTTGGGGCCCTAGATAGATTTAAATTTTGAAATGATATATTAATCCTTTATTCAAGAATCAAGAATGTACTTTTAAAAGCAACTTCAAATATTGACACTCAATCAAACTTAAAAAAAGGACTTTGGTATGTGAAAATATGTTTTATTTTCAAATTTTACAAACTTTTTTATACACTTTTCCTTAGCAAATTCTTCAATCAATTTGTCGAAATCAATTTTTTCATCAAATCTATATTACTTGATAGCAATGAAAAACTATTTAATGTAATTTGTAACATAGTTGATTTTAAATAATTTTTCGTAAGTTTTAATTTTGAAAAACTTCGTTCTCCAGAACAGTTAGTGAGCATCAAACATAAATAGAATCTTAAAATTTCCAAGATTTTGGGGGCCCCCACATGTAATTATAATTAAAGCGTAATGACTAACATTTTATTTAACTCTAAATGAAGTAATTTTAAAAAAACCTAGCGAAACAAATGTTTTTCTTTTAATTTTAGATAAAAAATTAATAAAAAATTGGCAAAAAAAAGGAATTATTGAAATTCTTAATAAAGTAATTGCATTAAGAATGGCATAATTAATGTTTTATTTAAATTCTAAATGAAAGAATTTATACGTATACAGGGGTTAAATTAATGCAAAAAAAAATCTAATCGCGAAAAAAATAACTTTTTAGTTAAGTTTTTATAACATTAATAACATAAAATGTGTTTAAAATAAAACGAATTAAATGAATAGAAATGTTGAACTTAAAAAAAAATGCATAAGCATGCGTAGACCAAACGAGTTAGGTCAAAGCAATAAAATGTTAGATACCACATTTTTTATAGTTCATTGCTATTACTATTAAAAATCTATTTATAATAAACGTACTATTAAAAATTTAAGTATAAATAATTTTTTGATTCAAATGGCTTTTAAGTTGATGTTTTTATTGAATTTTTTTGTTCAAATTGTTTTGTAATAAAAAGTGTGAGAAAAAATTGGTTTAATAAATCAATTTATTTTTTATTTACTTTTTTCGTTAAGGTTAAGTATATGCTTAAATTTTTCTGGAAAAAAATTTCCTTCAACAAAAGTAAAAAAAAAATTTTATTTTTTATTTAAATTTTTTATAATAATTAATTTTGGGTTAAATGTTTGCAATAATCACTGGTTTAATTTTTGCAATAGAATGTTTTCTTCTTTAAAAACTGTTTTCAAGAAACAAAAAAAAAATTTCCTTTTCAAAATGTTTATTATTTTATTATAACTTTCTTATATCTGATATTATTAATGTCGATATACGTTTAACTTTAAGGAATGGCCTCGCTATACCATAATTTTAGATTAAGAATTATTGAACGTTAAAATTTTTTAAAATTTGCCTTTTTTTTAAGACAAAAACTTTTGAATGAGAGAATTTTAGAAGACTTTTTTTAAAAGAGTTCTTTTGTTCAAATAGATTTTTTTTAAAATTCTCAAAAACAACTTGCGTATTTATAGAAAATGTTTAATCTTGATATCGCTTTAAATAAATTTTGAATATAAAAAAACATTGTGTTTTTCATATTCTGTTCAACATTTCTTAGTAAAATAATTTTTAGTTAGAAGCTATTATGTGTTAATAACATATAAGATAGAAATAAAAACATGTGTGGCTAACTTTTGTGAGTCTTTGTGTATATTAAGTAAATTAATATAGTTGATAAGTTAATATTTGAGTAACTGTAACTTACTATTGTAACTTAACAGGTTGTTTTGATTTAGTTTATAAGTACATTTACTGTGATATACTATTACCCATTCAGTAAATCAAAGTAAATATAAGTTTCAGGGTTGTTAAAGCAAAAAGCGTTGAAGCAAAAAAGTTACTAGTTTCTATTAGCATTAACTAACTATTAGAAATATATTTTAATAAAAAAAAATTTAATATATTTTTTAACATACTTGAAGTAGTAAAATTATTAATATATATTTGTTGATAAAATAATAATTTAAATTATTAATAATAAGTTAGTTTGGTCAGGGCTATTTTAGACCGTTTTCGATAATCTCGACCTTATTTGGGCGCCCAAATTAAAAATTGAGGAGCTTTTATTTTTTATTATTTTAACGCCTTTTACATTTTTTTTTTTACATTTATAGGCAAATATTATTTTTTATCGCAAAAAAAATTCAGATTTGCCAATAAAGTTTGTCAGAAGGAGGGGGTACCGCCGCCCAAATTTTTTTCCGAGAATAGGCCCTGTTTGGTGCAACCTTTTAAATACAACGATAAAAACCAGGTTGTTTTGTTCATAAAAAAGAATTAAGAAAATATTTGCTATAATGTTTTTTCCTTTTTATACTTTTCGCTATAACGACCTTGTAAAATATTATTGGCTTTAACGACCTTGTAAAATATTATTGGCCACACAAAGATTTAAAGTAATTTAAACTCAAAAGTGCTTTACGTTGAATAAAAATCTCTGCGTGAAAGAGCAGACAAAGCAGATCAGATCAGAACAGAATGTTCATGCTTCTATTCAAAAGATAGAGCACTAATAAAAAAACTTTTAAGAATTGTCAAAAAAAAAAAGCCAAAATGAGAAAAAAAATTAAAAAAAACCAAATAAAAAAAACAAATCGCAAAAAGAATTTTTTAAAGAAAAAACTAATCACGAATTTGTGAAAAGCGCTTAACTGGAGCCCTGCATATAAGTGTTGTGCGGCGGTAGCGCAGTGGTTGGTACACTTGACTTACAAGCAGGAGATCCAGGTTTGAAACAAACTTTGGTCATATTTTGCATCACGGTAACAAAGGAGGAGTGAACTTCCTGGTTAAATGCACTTCTGCGGTGTTCTGTGACAAGACCGTTAAGTCTTCTTGGGGCGCCTTAAATAATAAATTAAGAAAAAAAATAAAAATTGTGTTTTCACAATTTTTTTAAAAATATTAGATAGATAAAAAATTTTGTAGCAATTTAAAAAAATGCTTTTTTATGCGCTCGCAAAAGTTTTTGCAGGCCTGTTAGCAAACGTAAAAAGACTTAAGCCCGAAAGTGCTTGCATAACAAAGGAGGCTGTAATAGAGAGCTCTTGCTACTGCCCACACTGGTCTCCTAAACTGGTTTACACAAGCTATTTTGGCTCAAATAAAAGTAAAAAATTAAGAATTTTCTAAATGCAAAAAAATCATTATAATGAGTTTTTTTAAACTGTAGTTTATAAACTTCCACATACAAAAAGTATGTTTTTATATTTGATAAATATAAAGTTATAAAAAGGTAATTCCTTGTCAAATCAGCAGGGTACGCTTCCTGCTGATTTGACAAGGAATTAGCTTTTTATAATTTTATATTTATCAAATATAAAAATATGTTTTTTCATAAAACTTTTTTTTTTTTTGCGTAAGTTTGACGTAAGTTTAGCATAAATTCAAAGCTGTGAAGTTCGTATTCATAAAACTTGTGCAGTTGCATTTTACAAAACTTACATAAGTTTTTTTATAAGTCCAGCGCTAAAATATTGGTATTCACCAAGCTGAAATGGTATTCACCAAACTTTTTAAAAACTTGCTCGGCTTAATTTAAGCAAGAAAAGTTACATTAGCTATGAGCTGCCATAACTGTGGCATAACATTAAAATCACTAAATATTAGAAATGGTGTTATATTATTATGATTCATATATAGCTATGTTGTCAGATTGATATAGAATCTTATTATAGTTTATAGAATTTGTGTATATAAATTGCATATATTATAATAGTTAGTTATCAATAATCATAGATATTAACACAAATATAAATGTAATAATAATTTAATATCTTATCCAGTCGGAATCATGTGACTATAATAGGAAATCAAAAATAACCCTTGGGTTACTTGGGGGAAAATTGGGTTAATTGGGGGAAAACAAGCTATTCTTTCTAATACGCAAAGTTAAGAAAATATTGCTTAACAACAACTTTTTGTCCTACAATTACTTTTAAAGTTAGTTAACCAAATC